TGACCAGACGGCCTGCTTTTGGTGGGACAGTCCCGATTTTTAATAATTTTTCTTGTGTCCTGCGGCATTTTTTAAAAGTCCCAATTTTTTGAAAGAATGCACGACAAGCTAGGGTATATGGTTTTCGGCTGCCAGGTGGCTATTTCACCAGGATATGAGTTTTATCAATGGTGTCCCGCTTTACCAATGTTAAAACCTGGTCACATTATTTTAGAAGGCCTGAAGGGCTCTCACTGGATCAACCCCCTCCCCCCCCAAATCCTCAGGTATTAATGGGGCAATATGAGTAAGGGCTATTGCAGAATGCAGACACTAGGATGGTGTAACTAATGGTGGACACGAAGGCCTTGCCTTCTATTAAATGTAGAGGACAACATGGCTCGTGGCACAAACATACTTGTGGAATAACGGCAAGCTCTTGAATTTTAGAATTTTTTTTTTCTCCTAAGATGCTGAAATCTGTTTTGAAGGAGAAGAGGGATTTAGACTAGGAAGGAATGGGAGAGACTCAAGCCGGGGGATTTGGAAAGCAAAATGGGAGCAACCCATGGAGACAGCCTTTGATCTCTTGATGATCAAGGACCATGGCTTAAGGACCAGACTCTTAAATCATTGAGGCATTTGCTTGCCTTCGATTTAAAAAAAAAAAATGAAAAAAAACACCTTGTGGCTCAGTGGTCCAAAATGGCAAGTGTCCAATCACAAATCAGTCTTAACTTTCCAAGGGTAATATTTGGAAGGCTTCCAGCAAGAACAGAGTAGAGCCAGTTTCTAGAAGGGGCAGCTTAATGATTTTTTTGTCCCCCACCCCGAAATCATTCAAGTGTTCCCCTTCCAGAGCCCAAGTTCATGCAGAGGGCAGGGGGAATTAAACGAGGGAGCCAAACCTGCAGCTAAGATTAGAGAGTTGCCAAGGGCCTAATTTTAGGTCTTAACTGCCCCCAGCTGACATCCTGTGCTGTGGGCACGCCAGGAGGACTGCAAGTGTGGCCGTAAGCATGTGTCTGAGTGGGAAGTGTCTCCCTGGCCATCTGGGAAAGCAATTAGCTTGCTGTTGGGTGTGTTTTGAGAGAGAGTACCAATAATTTCTCCTTCGAAAAATGTTTCTTCAGGTGTTTCAGAGTCAATAAGGGAACATGTCACAGCGTGGCAGACGTCCCCACCTGCTTGCCATTCTAATGTCCACGCTTCTCCACGTCACTGTGGGCTCCAAAAGGAAATGGATCCTGCCATTCCTGGTTTCCCCTCGTCAGTAGCCCCCTGAGCAATTTCCTCTGCCGCCGAGTTTGCTGCCACAGCTCAGAGAAAGTGTTCTCCAGAGCCCGCCTGCTTCCCGAAGGGAGAACTGGGAGGGATGATGCCACCATTTCGTTTTGTGGGGATGCCTATGTCACTGGGAATTCCACTGCCCTATCCACTTGGCACCTATTTCCCATCCACGGGTCTCACGGTTTAATTGTCTTCTTCAGCGGACAGACAATAATCGCTGGCATCTTCCAGATCAAAGGGAAGACAGGGTCTATCCCGCAACCAGAATAATAAAATGATATAAAAATAAGCCTGTAACTGATTCCGTACCGAAATGCCACTGGAAAGCAAACACTCATGCATAATGATGGCAGGGAAGCTCTCCTGATAAACTACTCACAAGAGCATGTCTGATTTCTCCACAACCCTCGGCCTGTGGCAGCCAGCTACCAGGATAGACAGAGGTTCTGTGTCCCTGCAAGCGGGGGCCTGGGAGATCCCCCTGGTGCTTCCTGCCTGTGCAGGAGGCCCTTGATAGGGGTGAGTGGCAGTGTCAAGAAAGCAGACTAGGACTGCCACCTTTAATAGCAGAGGTGCCCCCCCTCACCCCCTTTAGCGAGGGTGGCTAGGTGGAAGGGCCCCTCCTTCCCTCTATATTTTAATTCCCAGCTTCCCACGTGGCTTTGCTTTCTGTCTACTTGTCCGAAGTCCTAACTGTCGGTCTGTCTCTGTACCGACTCCCTGCATCACCACCGCCACGCGAGCACACCCAGTCCCACCCCCTCCCTGTCTCTTGGCGCACGGCCCTTTCATCTTCTCCCTCGGGGATTCGAGATGTCGCTGCAGGAAGTGCTTGTTGGCCACAGCGGCGGCGGCAGAGCCCTGTGGCTTTGACAAACCTCATTTAATTGGGAGGAAGCCAGGAGAATTTGAAAGAACTGAAACATCCACGAAACTCCTTTTATCAGGCATAATTTAAACTCTGCATGGAAAAACCCCTATATGTATAAAGAAAAGTCAACTTCCCTCCTGCTGTGAGCACTCCCCGGCTTCCCCCCAGCGCAGGCAGGCTCCTGCAAGGTTCCAGCTCTTCATTTCTCTGAAAGTGTCAAAGCAGATTTGGGCTCTGCAGCTGGGTGAACAGAGTTGGAATACAGATCTTTCTCTCTGTCTGTCTCTGCTCTCTCCCCGCCCCAGACATGCACGAACCAGACACACATCCACATCCACACCACACACACATGTTCTCCTAGACATACATGCACCAGAGCCTCTCTCTGGGTAGATCTGCTTCAGGTCTGCCAGGAAGACTCAAACCCACACTGTCTAATGACACATCCACCCGGACAGTGATTGATTGTTCCTTCCTAATTACCCTTCAGGCAAAAGCTCGTGGCCAGAAAAGTTGAATTCTCGAGATCTGCAGGGATTCTCAGTACCTAGAAGAATCTTGGAGGGTTCCTATGGGGGTAGTGTCTTTAAGTGGAGAGGGGTGTGTGTGTGTAAGCATGTGGCTTTATGAAGTGAGGCGTCCCAACCTGAGGAGATCTAGCGGCTCAGACTGGGAAGAGGGTATAGATACTGGAGTAAGGGCAGGGGTCTATAGAGATGAACTGGAGGGAGACCTATCAGGAATGGAGAAAGAATGACAAATCTCTCTGGAAGCACAAAAAAAAACAACTGCCGCCGAGCCGAGTCCAGCCTGTAGGGTAGAGCACATAGAGTATCTGAGATCTTAAATCCTTGCAAGAGCAGACAATCTCCTCTCTTCCAAGGAGCGGTTGATGGGTTTGAACTGCTGAACTTGAGTTAGCAGCACACCACCCAACCCACACCACCACCAAGTCTTAAGGTTTCTAAAAGCTTCTTAAAGCTATTAGTCCGGGTGGGGGGTTTGGACTGCTGGCCTTGTAGTTAGCAGCCCAGCGCTTAACCCACTGCACCAACAGGGCTCCTTAAGTCTGTCTGGAGTGTCGTTCATTCCCCTCCTGGGCTAGCCCATACATACATTGCACCCATGGGTCCCTCCTTCCAAATCCCCCTCCAGTGTCACCTCCAGCCAAATCCATCTCACTTGAATGATGCTCACGGCGCCAGAGCGTTGCCTGGAGCACACACATCTGCACGTCTGCAGCTGATTATGCACAGATTTCAGTTGTTTGGAAATGATTTGTGCTAATATGTGCACGAGGGCGCCCTGTTTCCTCTTCCGTTCCCTTTCCCTCCCACTCTGTAAGATCCTTGAGGCCAAGGCTAAGCCTCCTTTTCCTCAACTTTTTATAGCACTTAATATGTCCTTGACACGTCAGGACAACTTAACATATACCGATGACTGACTCTTCTTTTGGGGTTAAGTAAGACATTAACCCCCAGCTGTACACTTATGGTGGTATTTGAAGATCCTCGATGACTCACGTGAAAGTGAAATGTCCCATCAAGTCCCAACCAAAGAGCTCTGGCCCCCGTAAGGCATGTCCTTGGGGCCAACTGGACCAACTGGACCTCTGGACCACACTGTCGGTCTCAGCCTCTTGGATAATGGTCCCCAGTACACCCCACCTTCATCCTTGCCCTGTCACACCTTCACCCCCACTTCTGCCCGGCCCCATCCCTATGCCCTCTTCTCATCCCAACTCCAGGAACCTCCTGCATGTGCCTGCCTTGGGCTTCCGCTACCAGGGAGTCAATCTCAGCGCATAGACAACCTACACAGGGTGTCTGCTTCTATCCGTCTTTATGCAGCGCACAGCCGCCCCGCTGAAGCCCAAAGCCACCCCAAAACGAACTGCCATCGAGTCACCATAATCCGGACTCCATGCGACCCTATAGGGCAAGATGGAACTGCCCCTGTGGGTTTCCAGACCATAGCCCTGTATGGGGGCAGAAAGCCTCTTCTTCCGCCTGTAGAGCGGCTGGCAGTGTCCAACTGCAGATTGCAGTCCCACACGTAACAACTATGCCACCGGGGCTCCCCGCCATCCTACTCAGGGCTTCTACGCTTCTGGATGAACGGTAGATGCTGCCAGAGAAACCTCACCTCCCTGCAAGCAGCCGGCATCAGCCCACCTCCTCGGCTGGCCCCTGGTGACCTGGTTCTGAGAAACTTGAGGTATGCCCCTTGTCACATGATCCCTCGTTGGTTTCAGATTTGGAGGATGATTTCAGGCCCTCACAGCAAAGATTATTTCAGGTTAACTGTGTGTGCCCAGTGGGCACTCAGCCTGGCAGGGCGCAAACCTCCCTCAGGTTCCCTGCCCCGGAGCTTCCTCCTGTAGCATCAGATGACCGATGGAGACCAGCCCAAGCCGTGCTCCGGACACGACTGTGCTACTTACCATCTTACCTCGTCGGAAAGGGAAGAGGGGGGTCTAGAAACTCGAGTGTTCCTTCTCCTGCCGGGTGGCAGGTAAACCAATGACAGCCAGGCACCTGTCACCCCTTCCACTTACTAAGTGCGAGTGTGTGTGTGCATGGAAAGTTTGCATCACTACAAGGGGGCCCTGTCACCACTCCCCACCAGGCCTTGAGGGTTTTAGAGAATTCCACGCAAAAACCAGAGAAGCTTAGTTCCAGCTTGCTTCTCCCAGGCACACTGCTGTACCTTCTGTGATCTTCCACAGTCCCAAGAAAACCCTTAGACATATGGGGACAATTCCATGATCTCTTTTTACCCCCGAATATGCACAGGTCCCTGATACCCACCCACGCGCACCCGTGCGCGCGCGCGCGCACACACATCCTCCCTCCCTCACCATTGGCGAGCTGGCGGAGCTGCGAAGGCAGGGCGCTGAAGTAGTGGTGAACCAGGGCCTGCTGGGCGGAGACCCGGGCTCGAGGACAGCCCTTCAGCATCCGAGAGGCCAAGTCTTCAGCTTCAGGCACCCCGCCCAACCTGGAAAAGTGAGAGAAAAAGGTCTTCTAAAAAATGAGAAGATAAAAGGGGTGGGGCAATGGGGGAAAGGGGTGGCTAGATGAACAAGTGGGTTTCGAGGGACTTTTCCTGGATGACAGAAATTAATGGCAGGGGGGAAAATCACCCCCACACTGAAACGCTTAACCTGCCTTGCAACTCAGATGAAGGGGGAGGGGGAATCTCGACCTTCTATTATTTCGCTCCCTCACCCCCACGGTGTCTCTGGGCACCAGGTACATAAAAGACACAGAATTATAATTATAGAAGCAGAGACACATAATTAAAGCTGCTGCTTTGAGGGACACAGCAGCCCCCATTGAGCAGCAAAGCCGGACTGAAAACATGCTCCCAGCCTTGGGGCTGCTAAATCCTGGGAAGAAAGATCACCTTATTAATTACATATCCAAACTGCGACAGAGCAAATGGCCTTTATCCTTGGAGATGAGCGAATCTGGTTATTGAGCAACTACTATGTGTTAGGAGGTGGTCAGGCCTGAGAGCATACAGTCTCATAGGAGGCTCAGGCATTAACCAAATGCATCAAAAAAACAAAACAAAAAACACAAGAATGGCTGGATAAAAAATTCTGGAACCTGACTTGGGATGGGAGGAGGCAGCCAGGGAAGGCAGACCTGAGGAAGTGATTCCCACCGAGAGCAGGATGACTCTGTGGTGCCCGTGAGCTCAAAGGTGGTCACAAGGCCAGTAGGCTGGCCAGGAACGAAAACTGAAAGAAAGAGCTAACAAAAAACCTGGGAAGACCAGCAGGGCACTGAGCTTTCAGAGCTGCGTGGGTCTTCATGCTTCCTATCATAGTGTTGCAAAGTATTCGAGAATCTAGTGCTAATTGTTCAAGTCTACCCATCTCTGTACCCACAGACAAGTTTATAAGACGAAAAACCCATGGGGGTCGTGGGGTGGGTGGACTGCAGATCCTGGAAGATAATCAATGCAAGACTGATGTTCAGAATTCAATTGTTGTCTGACCAAGATGTCCTTCAATGGGAGAATGGGCAAACTGTGGTACATCCATTGAGTGGAGTATTATTCTGCGGTGAAAAGAAACGAGTGATCAGCTACAGAAGGTGTGGAGGAATCTTCAATGCATATTACTAAGTGAAAGAAGCAAGTCCGAAATGCTACCTATTGTCTGATTCCAACTGTATGATAAACTGGAAGAGGTAAAACTGTAGAGGCAGTGAAGGGATCAGTGGTTGCTCAGGGCCCCAAGGCAAGGGGGACAGGATGAATAGGTGGACATTTAGGGTAGTGAAACCATTCTGTAGAAGTCTTTAATGGAGGAGACACAACGTGGCGCATTTAACAAAGCCCATAGGACAGTACAACTCAGAGTGACTAGTAATGTACACTATAGCCTTTAGTTAACAACATATCCACTTCTGTTCTTCCATTGTAACAAACACAAAGCAAGAATGCAAGATGTTAGTAATAGGAGAAACCGTGTACTGGGGGAGAGCAGGGATATAGGAATGTTGTACTTTCGGTGCCATTTTTCTGTTACCTTAAAATGGCTCTAACAATTCAAGTCTCGGGGGGCAAATGAAGTTGCACGACCACGGAACACCACGGCAAATCCACCAACAGGCAAAATCGACAGGTTTGCCTCAAGTCCCCTGGACATACACATTTAAAGTGAGAAGAAGCAGACAGACACCCTTTCTCTTTCTGGCAGCTATGACCAAGGGGCTGAAAGTCCTAGCCCAGACCTGTAATTTGCCTAATTTTTCCATACAATTTGCATAACAGTCTTTCAGGTTCGTTCCCATGATATGAAACAGTTTCTGCAAACAGATAACTACCTACAAGCCTAGGGATAATTGCTTATAGACTCAAGATAATAGAGCTAGATGTAAATTCTCAGGGCTGTCTTCTAGGCCAGTGGAGAGAGAAGGGACCTCAGGCCAAGGTGTCATGAGCCAGTGACCGGAAGAAGGGCTGGTAGGGCGATTCCCGTCCATAGTGCTCTGGGTCTTTCCTTCATGTCTCAGCTCTTACTAGCAGCCCAGGTGGGACACCAGGTGTGGGCCTTGCTGTTCAGTGCCACTGAGCCATTTCTGACTGATACGGGCCCTGTGTATCACACCACCTGACCCTGTGCAATTGTTATGTTTGAGCGCATTGTTGCGTGCACTCTGTCACTCCATCTCCTTGAAGGTCTACTTTTGTCCTGCCCTCTGCTTGACCTTTTCCCAAAACTGAACTCTCCTGACCATATGTCCAAAGCATGTGAGACAAAGTCTCACCACCCTCACTTCTTCCTTTTTTATCAATCATTTTATTGGTGACTTTTACGCTCTTATAACAATTCATACATCAATTGTATCAAGTGCATTTGTACATATGCTGCCATCATCATTTTCAAAACAATTTCTTTCCACTTGGGCCCTTGGTCTCAGCTCCTTTTTCCCCCCTCCCTCTCCACCCTCGCTTCTAAGGAGCACTCTGCTGTACTTCTTGGCACAGCACTAATACTCTTCACCTTGCTAGGGAACAAGGAACCCTCGAGTACGCATTGGGCTGCTGACAGCAAGGTCAGTGGTTCAAACCCATTTCTCTATGGGAGAAAGATGATGCGATCTGCTCCTATAGAGATTCACAGCCTTGGGGAAGCCTATGTGTACATCAGAATCAACTAGATGGCACGGAGTTTCAGTTCTTGGTTGCTACGAACATGTTGTGTTCTTAATCGGGAGAAAGGACTGAAAAAAGACAACAACTTAAGCTTCCAGGTATAAAATTTTAATTTAATTCAGTCAGACACATTTAATTTCAGAGAAAGGACTAAAAAAAGAAAGGAGAAAAGGAACAGCCAAGCCATGGTGATTCTCATTGAGTGGGGGTGGGGGCGTCATTTTTATTTTCTTCCTCACCCTTCTCTAAGGGTTCCACACTAACTATGCATTACTTTGGCAATGGAACACTTCTCACGACTTGAAACATTACCTGGAGGAGAGGTTCACCATGAGTTCTTTGTCTTTAACAACAGGCTCTCATTCGTTCGGGTAGATTCTTTGAATCCTGCAAGATGACTCCTGACAAGTTCAGTAGTTAACATGAGTAGTTAACCAAACAAATAATATTCATTAACATGTGCTGTATAGGGAAAGGTGCTGGTAGGCAAATTATGATGTGAATGTTTCCTTTCCATGCTGACCTTGCTGTCAGCAGCCCAATGCATACTCGAGGGTTCCTTGTTCCCTAGCAAGGTGAAGAGTATTAGTACCGTGCCAAGAAGTACAGCAGAGTGCTCCTTAGAAGCGAGGGTGGAGAGGGAGGGGGAAAAAGTCCCCCGAATTTTAATAGCGTAGTGGTGTTACACTCTACGTGCGATTTTAACTTGCTTTTTTCACGTGGCTGCCTTGATCATTTTCTCTTTCCTGAGTAGGTTCCTAGCACATCGTCTGACCAGCTGCATAGCATTTCATTACGTGGACAAACCCCAGTTTATATACCTGGAAGCTTAAGTTGTTGTCTTTTTCGGTTAGTACTAGAAGAAATGTTAATAAAATCATACCGTGATATCACTTCTCAGCCTTTCAGCTAAGGTCAAGTGTAAAATCATACTGTGGCAAATATCCCCAAAGACAAGTCTTTGGGTATGTGTGCAATGATCTTTTCAGGCTGTATTCCTAGGTTGAAGATAGATATAACATGATACAATTATGATTCATATTTTCAGCTGGAGGAGCTGCCCCAATTTCCACTGGTATGTCGAGAGCAGCGGGGACAGGGACTGTCTGTCCCTGTGAACATGACAACGAGGCATCCCAGCAACCTGAATTGCCACAGCCCCTTGCTTTTAAAACTCCTAAAAAGGATGAAATGTGCACATTGGTCTTAAAAGATGTGCTGAGCGCCAACGACGCTCAGCATTTAATGTTGGGAGTTCAGGGTCAATAGAAACAAGCACAATAAGAAAGTGAACATCAGACTTGGTGATGGAGTAAAGCCTGAGATGGTTTACAGTCTGTGCATGGTCCCACTACACACCTGAAAGACTCTTGCAGAAAAGCCAGTGACATGTTGGCCGCTGGCACCTTTCACCCACCATATTTGCAACCTGATTGGATTGGATAAGGCCGCAGAGACACATACCGAATGAATCCTGCCTCCACCACTTACCCTAGCTGCATAAACTTGGACAAGTTACTGAAATTCACTTTGCCTAACATTCCTCGTATTTGAAAGGGGAATCAGGTTTGTGAGGACGGACTGAAATAATGTAGGGAGCACACTGTTAGCCACGTTTTTCCATTTTAATGCTCTTCCCTCAGTGACAGATGTTTCCCAGCACCAAGAGCTTCCTCGTGTGACAATCGAGGCCAGTGTTGGCCAGTGGAGTTTCCTCTGTTGATGAGAACAAGGCAACGCCACTGTCCAATATGGCAGCCGTGCCGCATGTGCTGACTGAGCACTTGAAATGGGGCTATTGCCATCGAGAAACTGGATTTTTTCCGTTTGATAGAACTTAAACTCCATCCACGCACTGGACAGCAAGCTCCAGGTATTACTTCATGTTGGACGATCTGAGCTGGGACCCCAAATGTCTGAGGAAAGGTAAACACTGTTGGGAACCAGAGACTCTGGGAGCCGAGAGAACGGGCAGGGGCCACAGCAGGAGGCTGGGGGTAGCATCTTCTGCCAAAAGACCGTGGGGGCAGCAGCAACACGGAGTGCGCCAGTGCTTTGCTGGTTTGGAGTTACCGTTTGCTTTGGAAGCCAGCAGTGAAATGATAGGAAGCTGGGGGCGAAGGGGGTGGTGCTAATAGCTCTCACCAGGGCTTCGGCACAAGAGAAAGCTTGTACTTCTCAAATGAAATGATAAATAGCCGCTCCCAGAAACCGTCTCCAAAAATTTGGGGGAGCTTCAGTTTGTCCTGTGCTTTTAGAAATAAGACTCGATGTGCAGACAGCCCGTGGAGGACTGTCCCTGCCCCTAAGAGATCCACTGCGAGCCCTCTTGCTGTGGTCCCCATCCGCTGAACTCTTGGAAAACTGGTCTGCACTCTGCTAGACCCTCGTGGCACAGGGGGCGCCTGTCCCCCTCCAGATCAGAAGACTGTGTGCTCCAATCAGAGATTTTAGGACCCCTGGGGGTGCAGTGGTTTCAGTTGGGCTGCTAACTTCAAGGTGAGCAGTTCAAAACCGCCAGTGGCTCCGTGGGAGAAAGATGGGACTTTCTACTCTGGTAAATGAGTACAGTCTCAGAAACCCATAGGGGCAGCTCCTCCTGGTCCTACAGAGTCGCGGTGCATTGGCATCAACTCGGTGGCAGTGAGAACCCTGACTTGGCGTCTCTTAAAAGCACACGAACTGCAAGCTTGTTGAAATCCAACGGGGTATGTCTGGCTAGGTTAAACGATACCACATTTTCAGCGTGGAACACCGCTCACCCGGTCAGTGAGGACCTTGGCCGGTGATGTGCTCTTCCATCTCTCCCCACCTGCGAGAGGGTGTTTTTCTTTGACATTTGAGCTCCTTCCCCGGTCTCTGATGTTCTCCTCAGGGCCCTTTTTTGCTTCCTCACTGAAGCAAAAAAGAACAGAGCTTCCGCTAATTACTCTCAGATCAAATAATACTGGTTATTGTAATTGGTCATTGTCCGAAAACACCGAGTTCTTCTTAGCCCGGAGGTTGCCTGGCATGGCTTAGTTAGCTAACTATTCCCGGAATGTCTCTATTCTCTGTTGTACTTTGTAAAAGAAACTAGGGATTTGTTGAAAGCTGGTAATAAAAGTCTGCCCTGGTCCTAGCCGAGACTGCATGGAGAGGGCCTGGAAGGCATGTCCTCCATGAATAAGCCGTTGCCCCCCACCAGCCCCCGACCCCGTAGCCACTAACTGATGTTCTTTGGTCTCTCTGTATCAGAAAATAATAAGCCCACTAGGCTTTCTTGCTGGCCAACACTCCCTTGTTCTCAGGGTCTGGGGCATGGCTGAGGGGACACAAAACAGGTTTCATGACAAAACTCACTGAGAGAAAACTGTGCACAGAGAAAACCCAAACAGAATCACAGGTGGTTCCTCCGCTTCTGTCTGAGGCTTGTTCGGTGATCAGAGGCCCAGGAATAAGCCCTTCCCAAATAAGCACCCGGTGCTCACCTGCTCCAGACCCTCTGAAGGCTTGGAGGCGCAGGCAGCGGGAACCATTCTGGAAAGCACACACAGAAACACGAAGAGCATGAGTCACATTGTGAAACAGTACATTCGGAGATGATGGGAAGAAATGCCGACTGTTTTGTTACCTGTATCTTTTGCCCACCCACCCCTGCCTCACAAGTAAATAGACGGATTGCCAAAAATATTATTAAGCTCTAAATGCTTCCTCATGGCTGGGGGTAAATGAGCCGTTGGGTATGAGGCAGTAAGGCAAACTAGATTGATTTTTCATTTGTTTTCAGTTAGATGATTTTTTGGGGGTTCTTCTCACTGTAAAGTCTTTATGATCCTATGGGATGTCTCAAGGAGCAGTAAAGTCAACAAACATTTATTTAACATCTACTGTGAGCAGAGCGTGTACCGAGGATGTCGGAGTAGACAAAAGAGCTCAAAAGGCGCCTCCCTCCACCCCCCTTCCCTCTGCAGAGCTTACAATTCATCATGGAGAACAAAGCAAGCACGCATGAAAAGTCATGTGATGGATGGCAGGGCCGAGCCTCAAAAGTCCACTAAGCAGTAAAAAGTAAGAGGGCTGATTTTATAAGTCACTTGTGGGAACAATGGCAGTGAATCCTGGCTGGGATCATCCCACCTGGACAACAGTCAACCTTGCCATTTTGCCAGGGAGCACTCTTGATAATGTTTACATTTGGATAGATGTGCTTCCTGATATGGAGAAGGCCACCACGACAGGGGACAATTTCTTATTCATTCAATTGGATGCTTACTGTACTGAAGGGCCATAAGGGGACCCTTAGTGGGCATCAGAGATGATGGCCGATGCTCCCTTCTCACAAAGCTTCTACTCCCATTCCGCGCTGAGAAAGAGTATTTCAACTCTCATTTTGAATATTTCCGACTCATGTAGTTCAGGGGCCTGGAATGTTCGTGGTGAGCTATGAAAGATTTCTTTTCCCACCTCCTTCCGAAATGGGATGAACCTGGGCTGTTTGCCACAGCCAAACAGTTCATTGTAGTTGGGCAAAGAATTCCTGGGATAATACTCGCTCACGTTCACAGTTGGGTGTGCATAGGGAAAGGTCAAGAAGACAAGTAACCGAGTTGTTGATAGTAGTTCCAGAGATGTATCACGTCCATGCCACTTTACTGTATCTACTTGTATGTAATTGAAAAAACATGCATGATGGCTTTGATAACTAAAAAAACAAAACGCAAAAAGACTCGCTGTCATCCAATCGATGCCAACTCATAGTGACCCTGTGTAGGATGGGGTGGTCCCTGTCGATTTCCAAGACTGTGACTCCTCTTTACTGGAGTAAAACGCCTGGTCTTTCCCCTGAGGAATAGCGGGTGGTTTTGAACTGCTGACCTCGTGGTTAGCAATCCAGGTTAAGTTCAAATGGACAAAAGTTCACGGCTGATTATCAGAGACAGTGTGTCGGGGGATGGGTTGTGTTGGGACTGCTTAAAGGGTAGGCGACTTTTTTGGGGCAGGCAAGGAAAACATTTGGAGATTTGGACAGCAGCGGTAATTGCACCACGTGACCGGCACATTTCATTCCTGTCACTGAATGCACGTGTCAAAATGGTTGGCTTATTTTGTTACGACCGTTCACCACAATAAAACAAAAATGAGGGTGCAATTAAAAATTGAATTTATCCTGCTAAGAGGAGTCAATTCAAAGGAGTGATCAAAGAAAGCGACTTTAAGTGATGTGTCCAAGGTCAGGTGCGCTCGAAGAGGCAGTGCTCTGCTGATGTTTTATAGTCCCAGGTGGGCCCTCAAGGAAGCACTTGGACGAGAGAGCCCTCCTCTCTGCTCAGGAGACTTGTGCCTAAATGCAAATAAGCAGTACAGATAAGAAAAGCTGGTCTTTCCTAAGGGTGTTGATTTCCACATCACTCTCCTGGTACTGCCCAGCTTCTCCTCCTCACAGGTTTGTTTAGCAAAGGTGTTGACAGCTCTTCCTTGGCTAAACAAAATTAAACTATTTTCTCATTCAGTCATATCCTATTTTCCAAAATGCATGGGGAAACCCATTCTAGTCGTCTCCCCATTTCGGTTTCCCGCATCCCTGAGCCCCATGTGCCGGCCTGTTTTTCAAAGAGGGCTCATTTGTTGTTCCAGCTGCGGAGACCACAGAGAGCTTCAGGTCTGCCCCTCCCACGGCTTCTGCACACACGCTGCAACGGCACTGAATACCATCTTCCAGCCGTGAGCCAACCGTGCTGATCCTCCTGTCCTGGATCGTCCCGCCCCATCGACAGAAACTCACTGCCGCGCCGTGGTCAGTGTCATCCCACGTGGATAATTCTTTGAGAGCGCCTTTAGAATTTTAATACGGCCTTGAGTATTTTTGTATGACTTCGAATTGTACAGTTGTCCTTCTGTTGGGAGAATCGGAAAGAGCCAAGCTGTGGGGTCCACCAAGTGAGGACTTGACGCCTGACTCTGTCGGTTCCTGAAGCGAGCTCTTTGAGCCCTGTGAGCCTGGGTTTCCTAACTCAAGCCAGGGACCATATTCCCCTCACAAGGATGCTGCAGGGATTCAAATGAGATCACGAAGGCAAAGTGCCTGCCCCTGAGTATGTTCCGTAATACATTCTACGTGTCTCTTCTCCCTCTTTCTTTGAACTGTGGCGGGCAGTGTGCGATCAGGTGTGGTTATTCTCAGACCTTGGACCTGGCATTTGATTTTTGGCTCTGCACTTACTAGCTCTGTGACCTCACTGACGGTATTCTTTAACCTCAGTGGGACTCTCTTTTCCCATCTGCAGAAGGGGACTAATTCTAGGCCCTACTGCACAGAGTTGCTGTGAGAGTTCAGATGTTACCTCACTCTTAAGCTTGTCTGTAGCGCGGTAGTAACCCCTTTTCTCCTGCCCACGCTAAACCGAGGAAGGAGTCGCTCCGCGCCCCTTTACGATGGTATTTCTGCCATCTACCCTCTCTCCTCTAGCCCTGAGCTTGTCTCGCTCCTCTTTTTTGCCTTGTTGCTCCTTGAAATTTTCTATACTTGCTGTTTCCCAGTATTGAAATTCTACCTTCCTCCAAGTGCTTGTAAGACTGGCTGGATATCTTTTGAGTCCTCCGCGTGGGCCAAAGACATGCCTCTCGGCTGTCTGGTCGGCCAATGTTCACACACACCTGGGCTCACGTCTCCATCCATTCCGCCCCACTGCCGGGAGGATTCAATAAAATGAAGCATTTGACACATAAGGGGGCTCCACACACATTCGTCTTCTTTCTCCCCAACTCCGAAGCCCTCTTCTTGTTTTGGAATGGTCTGACGCAGTGGTTCTGAACCCTGCTACACATCACCACGGCTACACAAACTCACTGCCATGGGGTCAATTCCAACCCATCGGGATTTGTGGGTTTCTAAGGCTGTAGCTCGGTAGAGGGGTCGAAAGCCTCGTCTTCTTCCTGTGGAGTGGCTGGTGGTTTCAAACGGCTGACCTTAAGGTGAGCAGCCCAATGCATCGTAGGATGTTTTAAAGAGCCCTGGGGGCATTACCAGGTGTTGGGCTGTTAACCACAAAGTTCAGACCCACCAGCTGCTCCTTGGAAGAAGATGAGGCGAATCTGCTCTCGTAGATCAACAGCCTCAGAAACAGAATTGACCCGATGGCAGTGGGCGCACGTCTTGGTGGCAGAGTGGGTTACATATTGGGCTACGAATCACAAGGTCAAACCTACCAGCTCCTTCTCCTCATGAGAAAGTCAAGACTGGTTGTGTCTGTACAGATTTACAGCCTTGAAAACCCGCAGTGCAGTCCACTCCGACCTGTGGTGGGGTCGATGTGAGTCGGAATCCACTCCTTGGTGGTGAAAGAGTGCTTTTAAAGAAAGAAACCCCTTTCTCCACCCCACCCCTGACCCCAGAGTCTGATTCAAGTTGTCTAGGAGAGGGGTTCAGGTGCTGGTTAGTTGTGTTGCAATGGCTATTTTCAATGGTCTCCAGATGTGTCTGCTCTGAAGGTAAGGCTGAGGGTCTCTGGTCTAGGGCAGCGTCTACCCCTCACCAGCAATGCACCACACACCTCTTAAAGCTCATTTCCTCCTTTGTCATAACTCAGGAGAAGCTGTGAGACCCTAATCCATCCATGAATATGAAACTGCAGAACACAGCGCCTGACACCTATGTAATTTATCGTTAAAGGAGGCTGCGGGAGGAAGCCGGGCCACGGAAAACTAGTGCTCAGAAACCCACTGCAAGAGGATGGCCTGAAAGAGCGAAGAAGAAGGGCGGCTCCGAGCTTGCACTGCCGGATTCGGCCGCTAGCCTTCAGCACCGATTTCGCTGAGGTAGAGGAGTTAATGTGTCGCTGGCCAGTAAGTGAGCCCTTAGGCCTCAGAGTCAAAGCTCAAAGCCTACTGCTTCACACACACTCCACACACACAACACACCCCAACTCCCCGGCAGAGAAGCTGATGCGAAATGACCCTGGTTCTCGGGCATTGATTTTTCCCAGTAGCTAAAGCGCTGGCGGTCAATGAGAGAATGAGCCACACGCAGGTAGGCGCTGGACACAGTACCCTTGATGAATCTGCTTCTCTGATTTTAAGCCTCTAAAATAATTGGTTAGGATCCAGTTCATTTCCTTTTTCTCTCTAAAAGATTGTGATATGTATGTCTCTGATCGGTTGCTCTCCATATCTACGCTCAGCAGGTCTTTTTAAGAGTTCCCATTGGTGGTCGATTGGGACTCAAGGCAGTGCTATTGGCTCACCGGGACCCTGGAGAACTGAGGCTTTAGGCATACCGAGGCTGTAAATTGTTAAGGTTGCAGAAAGCCTCATCTTTCTCTCTTGGAGCGGTTGGTGGGCTCAACCTTCTGGCTAGCAGTCTACCACATAATCCCGGGAAAGAGCCAAGCAAGCGATCAAATGAAACAAAAAAGATTCTCCACGTTAATTTGCAAACTCAATAAAGTAAACTGAAAATAAAGGCAGAATGGTTGCTACCATCATCAAATGATCCTTTTCCACAAATCTTACCAAAGCTCGCTATACAAGGGATTCAGGTA